CTCTCCTCTCTTCTCTCCTCTCTTCTCTCCTCTCTTCTCTCCTCTCTCTCTCTCTCGCCTTTCGTTTGAGGAACAGCAATGCAGGGAGTGATCTTCAGAGGATGATGAATTGCAAGGGTGCGACCCTTCTCACAGAGTTCTCAATTGTGGTCACTTTTCTTCCAGCTGGAAGGGGCCCTCTACATTCTTTAAATCCAGCCGAAGTGGGAACTGGATGACGACTCCGGATCGCTCTATCTTTCTTGCAACCTGGAATCCCAAACAACCATGAAACAATTGGATGTTTCCCCAGTGCCAACCACTGTAAAGGATCTCTATATTTGCCGTATTGGTTCTGGTTGGGACCGGGTTTCCAGAAGCTCTTTTGAATCTCTCTGTCCGACTCCTGAACACCAATACACCGGAGCTCCCCGGCCAACCCATACCCAATCCCGGCCACTGACGCCCGATGTCAAATCAAAAGAACTCGTCTCGACTCGTTCACACTGCACGGAAGGCGGGGAGGCCTCGAGGTAGCACGGAACCCGGGCCGAGCGGCTGTAAACGTCGCACTTCTCGGTGTAGCACTTGGTCTTGACCTCCGGTGCCTTGAAAGGCCTGTGACGGTGCCGGAGGGTCCCCGAGAGAACACGGAGCCGCCGCGCGAGAAGAAGCCGCATGGATGGGAGGCGTAGGATGTCCCATGGAGTCTTTTTGACGTTGAATAGGTTTTTGGATTGATTCAACGTAATAACAGCTTTTGAGTGGGTACCGGAAGTCAGGCGGGTTAAGACACATGTTTCTTCAAACATCTTCAAACTAAGGATGGGACGAAATCACATGCTTATCTGCAAAGAAAGTCGATCCAAATCACTGGGATCTCGAGATGCACATGAGTCTACAGGATCCGAACTCTGCTCGCTGAGAGACCAGGATTCAACCCCAAACTCAGACGCTTCGAGAACTTCGAACACATACTCTTTCATCCCGGTCTTTGGTTCCCGGTCTTTGGTCTGTTTTGGGGGAGTCACACTGAAGTCTAAGTGTTTAAACAAATCCCTAATGCCTTTCTTTGGGATGACCATGGAGGACTGAACAACATCAAATCAACATCCACCACTCATGACTGCAAAATAACTTGTGATGATCTCTTCTGCTCAGCTTTGTCTCCTGCCCATGTAGATCTTTCTACGTCTTGATGGAGATCACGTTGTCCGGTCCCAGCCTGGTGCCCACATGGTCTGCCATGTAACCACCGGGTTGGAACCTCCCCGCGAGATTGAAGTCTGCCAACTTCCACTGTCTGCCTGGAGCTGACAGTCCATGTCGAGTTGTGCACGGTCCATGTCGAGTTCACGAGAGAAGTTGTCCACCGAACGGGAAGAACTCGATGTCTGAGCCCCTTCGGTGAAGACCACCGACTGTCCACCGATTGGGTCTGTTCCATAGAACTGTCTTTGGGAGTGAAGGCGTGAGTCATTCACCCCCAAATAAGCAGGAAACCTCTGAGAGGTTCAGGTGTCTGCTGTGTTTCTGAGGTTTCGGGGAGGTGTTTCTTTCGCAAGCTGTGCAGCACGGATAAGCCCGGGGTCAAACAAGCAATAGCCAACCTCGCTGAGCCAGCTGTCTACTTGTTACAGCGACGGAGCCCTGATGCACGGGCGGGTTCCCTTTCAGAGATCCGACTTCATCATGGAATGCCATCCAAATGGCCGAACACATGCACCAAACAAACTCGCATCGCAATTCCCCTCCAATTCCACCAATCACATCCAATCACCACTTCTTGGTTCGGAAAGCCCATTTGCGCTCGCATGCGCTCGCGCTCGGTTCATCTCGCCTTCGTCGGATTCGCGGAAAAAAGACACGTTCCGCAACTGCGGCGGAGTGCGAAATGCGAAGGTGACTCAGTAACTCGCACATACACTTAGTCACAGGGTTTGCAGTTAACCATAGCCCCAGGTGGTGACAAATCCAAACTCCTAGATACGGAGGGGGACACACACACACACACACGCGCGCGCGTGGGGATTTCGTTCCTAGTAGCTTCTTGTTACTAGTAGTAAGGCCTGGAGCTACGTTCGTAGCGTCCGACCGCTCCGTTCGTAGCGATGCTCTTTGTTCCGTTCGTAGCTGGTGCCTGAGGACAAGAGTACATTGCAGGGCTTGATGTCTCGATGTGCCACACAGTTCTCGTGGAGATATTTCACCGCATTCAGGAGCTGCTGCATGGCGCTCTTGACAGCAATGGAGTCAGGTGGCATGTAGACCTCGCGAGTCGTTTGGAATAGATTCCTCTTGGGACGTTGTTTTTGCTAGTGGTGATGCAACGACGAAAAAACGTGGACTGGTTCGAACTGAGGAAACAAACATCAAGGATGAAAAAGGTCGTGCTTGGCGAGACCTGAGAGACCTTGTGGGGAGTGAATGGAAGACTTTCATAGTGTTTGTCGATGTACTGGCTCATGCTCCCCTTGGTACATAGTTCAAGCAGCATGTCGATAACGCCATCCTTGGAGAAGAAGTCAATGATCTCAACAATGCCCTGATGCTTCAACCCACTGAGTATTTCTGCCTCATTTGCACAGTGAGGGTCCTTCTCCAAGGAGACCTGCTTCCACGCAAAGTGTTTCTTCGCGTTCTTCTGCTTCACCTCTTTCACGTCTGCAAAGGCTCCCGAACCAATTCGCTTGACGACTGAGTAATTCTCTTCGATCGCGGATGAACCGCGAGATGAAGCTGAGGTCAAAGAAAAAGTGTGGGACACCGACATGGCAAGCCTTGCCAGCAGCCTCCGTGAGAAGCCAATGTTTGAGCATAAAAACTGGTGGCCGGATTCTTTTGGTATGCGATGGCGTCGCTGTGATTTCTCAAACGCCTCATCTCGGAAGAAGCTGTATCCTTCAGTCGGTTTTTAACGGATACACCGTTGAAAACAAACTTGAGGCCGAGGGTAGGTGACGAAAGCTAGCAGGGGTGCATCCGGACTGGTGGGACATCAAGCGGAGTGAGGCAAATGCTCATGAGGTAAAACGTTGTGAACATGTAAGACACACAAACAGCAATGACACAGCCAACCTTAGAATTGAAGTCCCCGATAATTAAGGAAGCGTGGCTGGACTTTGCCACACTGTTCGATGCATCCGAGGTGTTCACGAACCTGTGAGCTTGTTGAATCTGTTGCACCGTATCCCAAAACCTCCACGGAGGAGTTGAAGGAGGTGTCCCAGAGGCAAAACAAAGCTGCTTGCATGATTTGTTTGGTTTCTTCTATCGATGTCGATGTCATGAACCTGTGAGCTTGTTGAATCTGTTGCACCGTATCCCGGAGGAGTTAAGCCAAAGTGGATGCCATAAGAGATGCCCGAGAGGTGTCCCAGAGGCGTCCGAGGGGGGAGTTGAACCCACGGGGGGGGACCTACATATGAAGTTTTCACGTGATGCGGCGATCCCGAGGATTCCAGCCCCTCACTTGCTAAAGCAAGGACAACTCCAGCTAGCTGGTGCTAGCTTTCGTGACATGGACCCTGAAAATCACTGGTTTGTAGAATAATGAAATTGTCTTCCGCCGGTCAATTCTCAAGATCCATGTTAGTTTTCGGGAGTGTAGGACAAACTATTGAACATCCCTAGTCCCTGGATCTTCATTTTCAGGATTCAGACTCCATCTGGAATGCACTGGCGAAGACCGGGTCCACACACGTTCTCGGCCCGATGCGGTGTCTAACTGGTCTCATTCTTCTCATTGGTTGTCACTACCACCCCGTGTCGCAGTCTGACATCGGTTTGACCATTTGATTGGTGAGCCAACTGGGCACAACTCCTGCGCCAATCCGGCGCCAATTCAGCTCCGAACATGCCAGTTCACATCCTGGAAGACACATCGCATAGCGATTCAGAAGACGTTTCATCCACCCTCCGACCGGAGGTCCTCACTGCTGAAAGGCACGGTGGCGTCGGGGAGCAACAGCAAGCCCGTCTCCTTGCGCTGCCTGCAGAAAACACCGAGCGGATGAGGGTGCAGTGATTCTTTTTTGCGGGGGGGATGAGGAGTTGGAGGAAGAAAGGTTGGGTGCCTACAAGGAGTAGTACTGTTGCTCTTGCCCCTCAAAACCGTGCATTTTTTTTGTTGTGGCGGCATGGAATGTGTTGACTTTGCTTTCAGTTATTGGTTGTGAGTTCATTTGCTACTTGCGGAGTTGTTTGTTGAGGTTCCACAATCCACGACCTCTGCCGTGTTTCAACAACTCCAATCTATTCAAGAGGCTGGGTCATTCGGGGAGGTGGGCCACCCTAAAAGCCCTCAAAGGTTCATTAACTGTTACTAGTATATAACTACTCCCACCACTACTGCTACTCCCACCGCTGGTTTCAACCGTTTCTGTCTTGTCTCAATATGTTTTCACCTTCTCATCGTTTCTCTGGTCAAGGCCCACCTGCGGGCCATGATCACACTGGAGAGGTAGGTGAGAATCTGAGCCAACGCTGTCACGGGACGGAACCAAGCTCCGCCAAGCCCCGCCACGGGTGGAACCAAGCCCCGCCACGGGTGGAGAAAAGCCACGGATGTTTCTTTTTTTTTCTACTTGACTGACTGGTTCATACATTGCGCAACTTTCTTCACCCACTTGGTTTCGGGACATGTTCCGCATACCCTGTATATCCCATTACCAGTAACAGTGGATGATGATGGTTAGTCAAAGCCTTTCTCAAACATCGTGATAATTGTTTACTGTCTGTTACTGGTATTGGGCTACACCGACACCCTACACATACCCATATTCAAGTCGGTGCTTCGTCTTTGTTGTCCAGGTCCGGTCCGGAAGAGAAGAATCCGTCCTAAACAAGAGGTATATAGACCCCGTGTCATAGATAGAAAAGTAGATCCCCACTCAAAATGTATTGGACACCGTGCCACTATCTATTTAAAGGACTATAATACGGGGGGGTGGGTAAACAATCTGCCCAAGAACGTACATGTTTTGACCTTGCTGGGAGATGAACAATGCATTCCCTCAGTTTTCCCGGAAATATCACGGTTAACCTGTTTCCAACTGTTGGAATTTAGTGGGGAAACCAATACACACAAAAAAGGTATAAAACGGGTTTAAAGGTTCTATAAAATGTTCTACATCCACTTTGCAAGGGAAAGACCATGAATTCCTGTCCATCCTTGGCAGCTTGCTGTGGTCTCTGGGCGGTGGTCATTGCTCCGTTTTGATGGCTTGCCGAGCAGTGGCCGATAGAGGTTTGAAGAACCCGAGCAGTGGCTTTCGTGATCAGTGGCTTTGGTTTGTTGGGGGAAGCCACACATTGTCACATCGGATGAGTTTGAAACCACGTTCAAACGCCAAGCTCTATTCACCAGTGGCAAACACAGAGCCGGATCTACTCCCTCACAGCCTGGGATGTCCGCCTTCCAGAATTTCCAATCTCAAGCTTCTCATGGCAGATCCACCAGGTGATTTACATGCCATGAGAAGCTTGAGTCGACATGCTTCCCATGTCATGCTTCCCATGCTTCCCATCTGTCACCAGTCAGATCGCCGTCACCCCGTCGGTCTCGATCGGACTCGCCGCGACCGCGGACTCGTCACTCCACCCGGAGCGACGAGAACATCGGTGAGACCGTTGCTTCGTTGCTTCGGTGAACAGCGTCGTTCGACCGGGGAAGACGAACCGACCGGTACGTACCGTCCGACGTTTCTGGGGCTTGGGTGAAGAACAAACCACTTCGATAGAAGGGTCATGGGAGTCATGGCCGAAGGTTGACCTACCTCGTGTCGGCCAGTCGGTGGACGGCCAGCGAACCCGGCGAGTCCAGCGAACGGTCGCGACCAAAAACGTTCAAAGGAGGCCTCTCAACGGAGCGTTTGAGCACCTCCTTCTTCTCCCTTTGGACCATCGAGATGATTGGCGGCACCGCACCTCGAAGGGTGCCTTCAAGAGCTCCGCCAGGTGCACTGGCAGGTTGGCCAGTTGGGCGCCTGAGAGCGGTCAGGCGGGTGCTTTGGGTGCTTTGGTTGGTGTGTGGGTTTGGATGAATGGAGATGAGTTGGAGAGGGATGCCTAGGAGGATGCCTATTTCATGGTCGTTCTTTTGAAGCAAATCCAATCTTGGGGAAGCTTGTAAAGTGGTCAAAACATATCAAAACTAACCTTTGAATCTGAGGATACACAGAAAAAAGCAGCAAGGGCCATTAACTCAGAACAGTGTGAATCCTTCGTTCACAATCCTTGTATTCCGCTTACCCAGCCATGCGCAGCCAGCCATGCAATGTTTGCCAGGAGGGTCGGCCATGGGCGAGAACGGGAGGAAACCGTTTCGGGTGATGGTGGTTTGAACCAACAGTGCACCAAACGGAAAACCGTGAAGTGCACCAGAATGGTTTTACACCATACGGGGGTTTCTATTCATGATCAGTCAACATTGATGTGCAAGAAACATCAAAAATCAACTTGAAGCGTTCACAATCTGTCGTGCATATATATATATACATAATTATATACGTGGTTTCGCATCTGAAATCAGAAACCTAATGTCATCCGGAGAAAACAACACTATCGGTCCTTTGACCTTGTCATCCTTCTTCTTGTTTCTGGCGTGTCGTGGACCTTTCTGGCGAGCTCGAGCTGAAGTTGGTGATGTTGATGAACTCCGGGGAGAATCGCTGCAGCTGCTGCTGAATACGTCATCTCATCGATGCCTCCGTTTCCGCCCCGGCTCGATCCGCACGGTGGCTCCGCACGGCGCGCCCCGCTGGGACCCGGAACCCAAAGACCGATCCTCCGAGCGCTTGTCCGCCTGCGTGTGTCGGCTGTAGAGGTCCGCCTGAGGCGTGCGACACGTCGGACGAAGGCGGTGGATGGGTGGAAGGACGGGGGAGTCTGGGTAGGACATCTGCTGAGGCGCGGACAATTGAGACGAAACAAATGGTAAAACATATGCCAAATGAGAAGCGTCTGGTGATTTTTGGGTTGAGCAACTGCAACTTTGTGCAATCCCAAATCCACAGATTCCTCTTAGTATTGTGGAAATGGTTCCTCGCACAAAAAGTCCAAGCCTGCGAAGTTACCCTCGTCGTCGTCCGCTTTAATCCGATACACAGCGACTCGAATAATATATATATATATATACCTCCACTCCAAGCGCATCAAATCCTGCAGTGAGATGATCTGCCCAAACCCGTCCCATGCGACGACTCGACTGTCTCGTTGCGCCTGCTGGATGGTGGCGAGGCCCTCCTCGCGCACCCAGGTCACCTGCATGTTGCGGGTGGCAAGCAGATAGTGATAGTGTGTTTCACACACCACATCCAGGTGATAAACAATCTATCACATGTGTTAAAACACAAACAAAAAAACAAGCATTGTTCCACATGTGACAAACGCAGCATGACATGGGTGACATCAAACATGGCGGGCCAAAGAAGCAAAACCCTTCCCTACTCCGCCATGCCCTACCTCGCAAACGTCCAAGTGTCAGTCCGTTTCGATGGTTGCGCACTTGGAGGTTTGGCCAGAACTGCAAGAAGTCTGGTGGCTTCACCCCATCCATGGCATGGAGCCTTCACATCCTTCACATGACCACAACATGAAGTTTCCATTCCTGGACAGCTAGGGTACTAGCTAGGGTGACTCACGTCCAACCCTTCAATTCCTGGGTCGTCGCCTACAACCTGTTCTGTGTCATGTGGACCGATGCGCCCTGAGCCCGATCCAAGGACCCTTTGATAAACCGTGAACGCAGGGTGCCTCAGGGTGTTGCACATG